ATCTGTTAGTTAGTTAGTTACGTGTAGCTAAGATACTGTCATCAATGTACTGAGCATGTGCTGGATTTGAAAAACCACATTCCATTCTCCTAGTGCTATACTGCCTATCCATATAACGTAATGCTGTAAATACTGTTTGTTGATTGGATTGGTGTAAGGGTACAGATGTGAGATGATTAGCTTATAAAAAGCCTGTACTCCATGTGCTCAAGGCTCAGACATTTTGGACATGAGTTCAACTGAGACCCGATCGGTGAGAATAAAGACCTTTGCTTCCTGAACTGACCTGAGTCCGGACTCTCTGTGCGTGGCTTCTTCACAGTTCCCCTATAACATATTTGACCCTGTAACTTCCAAAAACTCATAAAACCTGTACATTGGGGGTACTGTTTTACCTGTGAGACACCGCTGAATACAAATATGTGTACTTTATTGCAGTAACAGCTAACAGCATTGTGACATTCACAGTTAAAAGCCATGCAGAACTTAAAAAAAATAACAAAATTTCTTATTTTCTCACATTTTTTTATTGATATTAAAGTATGCCTAATATACAAATATTTGATGTGATACGAAAGCCCTGTTTCTCCTGAACTAAATGATATATGATAAGTGTGGGTACATATAATATGAAAGAGGTGAATAACGCTTGAATAGACATATAGCGCAAATTCAAGGTTTTCTTTAAGTTTTGGTTTGATCACAACTTGTACAATTGGCTCAGTCCTTAAGGGGTTAATTTAGAATTCCTTAACTACTGCCCTATTAATAGCTTGCTAGACCTTGCAGAAACATCCTGTATGTAATTAAAGTTAAATTTATAAAAACTTACACTCCATTTGTTTAGAGACATTGGAGTAACTAAATAACCTCCATTTGTTTAAATATAGATTGGAGTAACTAAATAACCTATACATAGGGATTTGGAAAAGAGTGCAGGTAATTTTTTTCTTTGGTTTTTTACTGTATGTATTGGAGCTGATGTGTACTATGGTTGATACTATCCCATGTGTTCCTTATTAGGGGTGTATATAAAAATTACCCCTCTCTGTCTCATTAGATATATTTTTGCCAGAAGCTCAAGGAAGCAAGGTAGATGAATGGTTAGTGTAGGACCCACCTAAGAGGTTTGCCTTGACGTGGCAGATAGGCATTTCCCTCTAACGGCCATTGGAGTAACTAAATAACCTCCATTTGTCTAAATATACATATGGATTTGGGAAAGAGTGCAGGTAACCTTTTTTCTTTGTTTTTTTTACTGTGTGTATTGGGGCTGTGTACTATGGTCGTTGCTGCCGCCCAAGAGTAGTGGGAGTTTGAGCGCAGGACTTTTCTTAATCGTAGGTCTTCTGAGAGCTCTTTTGTGCGAGGCATCATTCACATCAGGCAATGCTTCTTGTGAAAAGCAAACCCAGAACTGGTGTGTGTTTTTTATAGGACAGGGCAGCTGTAACCAACACCTCCAATCTCATCTCATTGATTGGACTCCAGTTGGCTGACATCTCACTCCAATTAGCTCTTGGAGATGTCATTAGTCTAGGGGTTCACATACTTTTTCCACCTGCACTGTGAATGTTTACATGGTGTGTTCAATAAAAACATGGCAACATTTCATTTTTGTGTGTTATTAGTTTAAGCAGACTGTGATTGTCTATTGTTGTGACTTAGATGATGATCAGATCACATTTTATGACCAATTTGTGCAGAAATCCATTTCATTCCAAAGGGTTCACATACTTTTTCTTGCAACTGTACTTTGCATGAGGATGTTCAGCAACTTGCAAAACCCCATAAGGAAAGTCTAATGCTTGTTCGATACTTGCCATGCATGTGCATTAGATTCCCTGATTGTGCTGACATCAAATAAGGAACCTCGGTGCAGGGACTAGGCAAGTAAATAAAAGGGGTGTTACCCTTTCATTACAAAAGATAAAAAGATAGTTGTGTAGGCGCTTAAATTTTTTTTTATATATAAACAGTGGATGTAATAAAGGTAGTATTCCCATACCTTTTAAAAACAATATAAATACAGAAAAGATTTTAAACCCACAGTGAGCACACAAGATTCACTTATATGTCGAAATACAAGAGAAATCTTATCATCTGTATAAGATAAAAACAAATACACATAGTGCTTTCTGTATAATAGCAATAAATCTACAATCTGTGCAAATGGAATAAAATTCACAAAATGAGAGCCGTATCAGGCTCTATAGCATGGGTCGTCAACCTGGTCCCTACCGCCCACTAGTGGGCATTTTAGGATTCCTGGTGGGCGGTAGGGATTTCGGCGGCTAAATCCTCCGTTTGAGAGAGTGGGTGGCAGGGCCGGACTGACAGCCCTAATGATCATTCTGATAAATCCTCCCCTCGGACTTTGCCAACCTGTCAGTCCGAGGGGACGAAGGAGGGAGAAGCTGGGGGCTGGTGTGGCTGCCAGCGGTTGCAGGGAGACCTGTCAGTCTCCCTGCACAGTCTGAAACCATTTCGGCCGCATGCACCACCCCCAAACGGAAGCCCCGCCTCCCACCCACAAGCTCCGCCCCCACACACGTTGCTGGAAAGCTGCCCACCGGACCAAGAGGACACTGAAAGGTATTTACCTTTTTACAACCCCCTATCCACCATTCAAATGCCCCCACCTCACAGACATTCCCCCTACCCACCTCACAGCCCCCCTACCCACCTCACAGCCCCCCAACCCACTATACAGCCCACCTACCCACTATAGAGCCGCCTACCACTATAGAGCCCCTACACCTCACATCCCCCACCTACTATACTACCCCTACCACCTCACAGCCCCCTTACCCACTATACTGCCCCTACCCACCTCACTGCCCCCTACCCACCTCCTGCCCCTACCCCTATAGAGCCCTCCTACCACCCACCTCACAGCCCCCTACCCCTTAGCCACCGGGGCTTTGCACCATTTCCCCACCTCCTGCCCCTACCCACTATGGGACCCCCTACCAGCCTCTGCTGCCCCCTGCCACTAGGGCCCCCCCTACCGCCTCTCTTGCCCCTTGCCCACTATGGGGCCCCCCTGCCACCTCTACGGCCCCTACTACCCACTATGCAGCCTTCCTGCCACCTCCACAGCCCCCTACCACTATACCCTTCCTACCACTCTCATGGGCCCACCCTACCCCACCTCACTGCCCCCCTACCCACTATAGGCCCCCTGCCTCTTGCCCCCTACCCACTATACGGGCCCTCCTGCTGCACCTCACGGCCCCCCTACCCACTATACAGGAAGCTTCCTGCACCCACCTCACAGCCCCCTACCCACCTCCTGCCCACTATAGGGCCCTACTACCCACCTCACTGCCCCCCTACCCACTATACAGCCCCCTACCCACCTCACTGCCCCCCTACCCACCATTACATTGCCCTAAGGAAGGTAAAAGAAAAGCATAAAAAAAAGAGATAAAAAGGAAAAGATCAAAAAAATTAAAAAGGGAAGAAAAATAGAAAAAAGGGGATAAAATAAAGGAGGAGAGTACTTGTAAAAAAGGAGAACGAAGGAGCAGAATACTTGTAGCATTGGAGAAAGAAGGAGCAGAGTACTTGTAGAATAGGAGAAATAAGGAAAAGGAGAGAATTGTTGTTGGCTAGTAATAGTAAGTGGGCTACCTAGCTCAGCCATCCTGCTGGGCATTGCCATAACAAAGGTTAAAAAAATAGGAAAAAGGGGAAAAAAAGTGGGGAGGGGAATTGAGGAGGGGAGCTGACGCACAGATGAGAAATCATATTATGAGCAAACAGAGAAATTGTCTGAAAATCACCGAAAGAGGAGACCTTCGTTTGTTCCTTACGAAAGTCGAACCAGATATCAAATATTTAGTCTCGCAGCATCAACCTCAAGGATCTCATTAATCACTAGTAAAGGTAATTTCAATTTACTTTATTGTTTTCTCATTAAACGTTATAAAGTTAAAAACATTATAAACATGCATAAAGTAGAAATAAAAAGATAAATGTATGTAATTTTTTTTTTTTATTTAAAACACCCTCCTTTCTAAAAAATATTCTGCACTTGCGCAAAAACTGGTGGGCGGTAAGGAAATTTTTCCATCAAGAAAGATGCATTAGTGGGCGGTAGGTAGAAAAAGGTTAACTACCCCTGCTCTATAGTGTCAGCCTCAAGGGTGTCTATACAGTCTTGCGATAGATGCCCAAAAACTGGGCCGCATATAAAGTTCAAAATAACATATTTTATTATTTAAAAAAATAAAGTTTAAAATATATATAAGGAACTGCAGGATATATATATATAGACAATGTACAAGGCTAAAACGGTAAAAACACTGCCGCAAAAATAAAGTATAATCAGTACAAATAGGCCATATAAAAGTCACTGCAATAGTAGTCCTTTGAAATAAGTCCCCATTGAAGGTAGACGTAAACGCGTTTCAGCTCTAATGTGGCCTTCCTCAGTGCTGTCAAACCTCCTCTCCGGCTAGTTTAAATATCCCTCTGAAATTTGGCTGATGCTGTCTGGCTGTGCCTCTTGTGTCACGTCACTTCCGATTTGGCGTGGTATGTCACTTCAGGTTGGACGCGGCATGTCACTTCAGGTTGGATGTGGCGCGTCACTTCCAGTGCGTCTGACTTGCGTTCCAACCTTAGCGCTTCTGCCCCAGTCGCCATAGCTTGACTGGGGTCCTCTCTGTCCTGGAGCAGGATAGGGGACTAGCTCCCAGGGACTGGACGACCCACAGTCCTAGTCCTTACAAAAACTTTCCCTGACGAATCCTCACACAAGCTGGAACAAGGTGCTGAGCAGTGATTATAGCCCTTCCACTCCCAGTAACTAGACGACACATAGTTCTGGGAGTACAACTGGTTTAATGCACCCAAACACAGTCTTTTTATACACAGACCCCAGCAGGGGGACTCCATTGTCTTCACCGCAAGCCCATCCCAAGCTAATTATCTCCCAAGAACCCAAGGCAAACGTAAAAATATAAAAACATAAAAATACCCCAAAATATAGTACTAACACATAAAATAACCCCACAAATAATACATCGTAAAATAACCCTGATCGGAGCGCCAAAGTTCTCCAGATAGCGCTCAGATACATGCAGTGTAGGGGAAAAGCCACCGTGTTAAAGTTTTGCCGGTCAACTTTCAGGAGCTCTTGTGGCCGCAATATAGAGTGCTCCGCCTGGCTCTGAGGTAGTGTTTCTTCACCTTAGGCACCTTCCCTCCAAAAAGCGCTCTTCTGTCGGATTTTAAGTGGTTCAAAACTGCAAACCAAGTTTTCCGGGAACTGCACGGTCACCTCATGCCGAAAACAGTTCCATAACATTCGTGGCTAAGTCCTGCTGAGGTGACCAGGAACCCACAAAGTCCTCATGCCGAATTTATTTCCATAGCAGTCGTGGCGAAGTACCACTGAGACTATTGGTGGATTTGGTGCATGCGAGCGGCCGCTAGAGCGCTAGCATTCGATACCATTTGACTGAAGGAAAAGTGCCGAACCCGGAGCACCCAGGGAAAGATGTTAATGGCGGCTGGGCAAAGTAACTCCAAAGCGGTGTCCCAAAATTGGACCATAGTCAGTGGGCAGGAGACTGGCTTCCACACTCCTCCAGGAGTCCGTGGCAAACGTATGTGGGAAGGCGTGTTTGTCACAAGTCCTTTAGGGAACAAGGTGTTCAAAACAAAAATCCACCTGCTCTCAATCTTGCTCAATTCCTTACATTTTATTCCCCTCTCCAGCTAAAATCCTTTTTATAAAAAGCCATAAAGCTCAAAATTATGTTTCTCAATAAAATGTGCTTACACACTATATTTTGTGTACCCCCTCTGAATATTCCCCATGTGCTCCAGGACGTGAGTTTTAAGACCTCTAGTTGTCATACCCACGTACAGGAGCCCACAGGGGCACCAGAGAAGGTACACTATATTGCTAGAATGGCACGTCAAAACACTTCTAATTTTAAAAGTTTCTCCTGAGACAAAAGATTTCACAGATGTATATGTTTCTTCCTCAAACTTAGTTTGTTTACATGCCGAGCATATTTTACATGGATAAAAACCTGTTTTTTTAATTTTAAGAATCCCCCCAAAATGTTTCTTGTTTAATACAACTTTTAACCAAATTATTTTTCAAACTTTTCTCACCCCTGAAAATGACTGTTGGCTTTTTGACTATTATTCCATCCAGATTGTTGTATTTAGAATATATTTAATTTGTTTGGAGTCCTTATTAAAATCTAAAACTATAAATGGGGTGGAGCCTGACAGCCGACCGAGCAAGTCGCATGGTGCTGGAGGTCCCCAGGGAAATTTTCTAATAGGGGCTAAGATTGGACTTTACCATACTTCTTTTGGCTGAAATGCTACATCTAACCTTGGGCAACCCCCTACTGATATTCTGGCACTTTCCGCTAATACTGCCCGTGCTAGACCTACCTTCGGCCTGTCACTATACTCAAGAATGGGGAGGCGGCCGATCCTTGTCCTGGAACTTAATAGCCTGCAGTCCTGTCCCCCCCTTTGGACCGGCGGGGGATATCCCAGTCCCTACAGGTGTCAGAGCTTCCAGAACCACTCAGAGGCCCAGAGAGTTGGGGCCTAGCAGCCAAGATGGCTACCATACCAGGGCTTGCCAACATGTGCACCTCCCAGCAGCCACCTGCGCCCATGGAACCGCTCCTCAAGGCATTCGACCGCATCTGTGCATTGTTTTGGGCAAAGCTATGTGGCAGTGAGCCCGCCAGCACTCCTGCGGACAAAGCTCCCCAGAGCAATCAAGCCAACCGAAGCCACACTCATCTACATACGGCATACATATGTTCCCAATATGGTTTGGAGAGTTAATTTCTTCATCTGATTGATCAGATATCTGTGTGCCTTTAAGTTCTTTTACATCTGTTTTCAGAGATCTTCGTTGATTCAGCTGTACAGTAGAGCTGGTCTTTGGTAAGTAATTGGCATGAATTGATTAAATTTTTTTCAGACTGTATACTTCTAGCTCTTTCTTTGTCTTTCTCTTTTTATTTGTCCTTCTTTGGTCCCATTGTAATTACTTGTAATTTGTAATTAGGGATTATTCTAGCCTCGGTGAGGGAATAATCTAAATTTTATTAAAGACAGGAGGCGAATATTTGCTTTACCTTCTTTACTGAAACCTCCAGCAGCAAAGAAACAGTTAACAGAACTTTTCAAAACAACCAATCAGAACAAAGCAACAGTAGTATAAAACCCCTAAACAGGCTCTTCCACTTCCTCTTTCTTTGATGAGGTCGAGCAGGAGAGCAAGGAAACCAACGAATCCACCTTGTAGCAGACACATCCAGAGAAACAATCGTCAAGCCCAGAGAGAAAACAGATTACACTGCAAGAAAACAGAAAACATTGTGAAAGTAAACTGTCAAGGCAAGATGTCATATCCATACAATATCACTTTCACATCATAATACCTGATGAATAAACAAAGTCTACAGATCTTATGAAGACCTTGTATGTACCTAAGCTAAAAGGCATTGACTAAACATAATTACAACACAAACATGATGAATAAACGCACACGGACAACCATCACTGAATATTAGAAATAACCTTTATTATGTAAAATTCACAAAACATAACAATATCCCCAATTATTTATAATAGAATAAAACCCAGATCCAGGGAGGGAACGTAAAAAAAAGGGGGGGAAATATTCGCCTCCTGTCTTTAATAAAATTTAGATTATTCCCTCACCGAGGCTAGAATAATCCCTAATTTTATGGCAGGACAGGAGGCTTCATATTTGCAATTTTAACGCCCAAATAGTAGAACCAGAAGCAATATGAGATAGAGGACTGAAATAAAGGAGAATGGAAAAACTGATTCCCTAAACCAAGCAGCGGTGTAGAGAAAATGTAGAAGGGACCCAACGGCTTCCAAAATTGTTGAGGTGACAGCACCCCGAACCAAAAGTGTCCCAGAGGAACTCAAGGTCAGTCAATGAGAGGATCCACCAAATCCAACGGGCGAGCGAAGATGCAGAAACAGTCCAAAATGGCCGTACGCAGAAATAAACAGCTGTCCATGAGTAGACGGACGAAAGAACCAGATCCTGGATCTACATGGTCGTGTACAATCTGTCAACAGAGCTGTGGCCTATCCGGAGAATAGGGGTACGACACAGAGGACGAATAAAAATGAAATGTGTGGAGCAGAAGCCGATGTACTGAACGGCAAGAAGGAAGAAGACACGTCGATACCATGGCGTCAGAACGCGATGAAATACAAGATGTACTGGGGGGAAACCGTAAGCGGAAAAAACTGGTGCACCTTGTCATCAGGTCATTCCTCAATGAAATGCAGAACAAACGATACCACTAGACTTGAGGAATAGCGAGAGATAGGGCTCCCGTACGGTATACTCCTCTTGGTAGACTGCAGACCAAGAGATCCTTAGCAATGCCAGAATCTTAAGAAAACGCATGAGTCGTCCACTAGCTGACATAGGATGTGAATGGCCCCATACGATCCTACCCTGAGAGGGCAACTCAGCCAGACAATGGGGACAACCATGATAAGGACCGCCATTGGGACCCGCACACCAGTCGTGGCAGGCTACCCATGTGGATCCCACGTGGAACATTAAGAGACAGGGAGTCGTAGATTGCCTTCCCATGGCAAACTCCAGCAAAAAGAGGAAAGCACGCAGGACTCCTCCGAAGTGGTTTGGCCAGGCGAAACGACACTTCCAGGAATTCGGTCTGAAGCGAAACCCAAAGTATCCTGTAGGTAAACGGGATGCGTACGCCCCGAAGCAGACCAAGTTTGGAAAACTCGTCCCTCGCCCAGGGTACGGCAGCCAGTTGGAGAACCGCTCCGTATGGCGGTTCGCACCGAATGTAATCATGCCAGTACTCAAGACCCCGGAGGGTGAGGCAACCAATCATTGGGTCTCTCCATGGTCGGGTGAAGCTGTCCGCCACATGAGTGTCTCGTCCGTATACATTCTGTCACAAATGACGAATACTTGTCCAGAAGCTATAGATAGCGATCCTATGTGAGATCCGACTGCAGTCCGTAGTGGGCAACCGGTGAGAAGTCCATGCCAGAAGGTAGCGAGCAATACTGTGAATGTTGAACAAACCTGCAGGTGGTTCCATGCAGTTGGCGTAAAGGAGTCCCTCCTCCGGAATCATCAATTAAGTTTTAGATGAGCTTCATCCGAAGGTCACATGATTTGGTCATACCAGGCCGAAGACCCGAGAAAGCGCCATGTTGGAGCGGCTGATAGTACCGGATCCAGGAGGTATGGCTTCCATGGCGAATAGGCACCGGTCAATTAACCGGGTTGGGCCCCTAAGTGTAACCCGCGGGTTGCGGAGCATATACCTGGTATTTTCCTTGAAGACGGACATCTTGGTCCTCGGGAGGCGGAGCACCGCCTGGACCGAATATTCCATGAAAGACCGGAAACTGGATTGACTGGGAGTGAGTCAGATTCAATATGTCCATGTTGATGGCAAAATCCATGCGGGTTTCTCTCATGTGCATTTGAGGGAGAGAACTAATCGTCAACACCGAGCAGCTCTCAGAGGGGATGAGTGCCCTCCATCTCAAAATGTGTCAACAGACGACATATGCACTGGGAGCATGTAGCGTGGGGATGGGGCGGGAGTCCACTCCACCGCACCCTTTGCCCAGCAGGGCAACTGCGGAATGAGTCGGAATGGATGCCTCTTTTGGTCATGCGTATCGCTCATGGAACGGTCCAAGGTTCCGCAACCTTAATCTGGAGTCCGGGCACGGTCCGAGAGACCTCTGGGGCTAGTTAAGGGGGAACCCTATGAATAGAAACGTGTCAGTTCAATTTGTACACGAGGGTAACTCCCGAGAGCAGACCCAGCACTTGGATGCTAAATCCATCAGTTTGATGTCCAGCTTGGACAGGGGCCGTTTTGTGGTTCTCAGGGGTAGAAACCAACTAGGCGATACCTATAAGTCATATCGGTCCATTCCCAGTGGGAATTTAGTCTCCTCCGCTTTCCAAGCGGTGACGCACCGTTCGTCCCGAGGAAACATCTGTGTCCGCGTGTCACCGACATCCACTGGTTAGTCCCAGATAGAGTGCAAACCCCGTGTCAGGTGTTTGCGGTGTCCTTTCCGGACTCCGTCATGAAGACTGATCCACTTGATGAATCCATCCGTTAGCCAATGGGTACCAGGGGTGCTTGGTGTAGCGTCTAGGCTGGCCGGTGGAGTGACCCCGTAGGGTACCGATGGTTTCTGGCAGTGAGGTCAGCGGGGCGGCAAGAGGACAGGCCAAGTGACCTTCTGGGTATGGGAGATTTGTCCTTCAGCCGTGATTGCACAACTGCCATAGAGGTAACACTGTCGGAATGATACCTGGTGTGGCCAGCTGGGGGTCACCCAGCGTGCAAGAGGGGGTCACCCAACAAGCACAAGCATACCATGCAGTATAAGCCAGCAGGGGAGGGGGTCACCCTCAGTCTGAACATAATCGGACACTGTAGGTACAGTGGTGCGGCCAGCTGGGGGTCACCCAGCGTGCAAGAGGGGGTCACCCAACAAGCACAAGCATACCATGCAGTATAAGCCAGCAGGGGAGGGGGTCACCCTCAGTCTGAACATAATCGGACACTGTAGGTACAGTAGTGCCGAAGTGGTTAGCCGTATAATAAAGTAACCAGACATTGCCGGTCCAGCAGTGTAGACGGCAGGAGGGGGTCACCCTCATATAACCAGAACCGGGCATTGCAGATCCAGCAGTGCTGTGGGTAAGAGGGGGTCACCCTCAGTGTGGTATCATAGAGGTCTGTACACCCAGCAGTGTAGTCAGCGAGGGGGGGTCACCCTCATTATGGTTATAATGGGACCCTGTAGGTCCAGCAGAGTAGTCCACAGGAGGGGGTCACCCTCAGTATCTGCGTATTGCAGGGCACTGTAAGAACAGAAGCTCAATCAGTGGGAGGGGTACCCTCTTTTATGGGAATACCGGGACGCTGCAGGTTCAGCAGTGCAGACTGCAGGAGGGGTACCCCCTCGGTATGATACTAGCAGGACATTGCCGGAGCATTAGTATAGGAAGCAGGAGGGGGTCATCCTCAGCATTAATCTTACAGGACGCCGTAGAGCCAGCAGGGTACTCATAGGTAGCCATGTTGCCAGAGGGAGGGGGTCACCCAGCCCACAATGGTGTCACACGTCCATTATTATGGTCCAGTAGCGGGTAGAGCCCCAGAAATATGGATTGGGGGGGGTTCACCCCCCCCCAGTAATAACAGGTCTGAATGTGGGGCCAGTAGCCCCCCTGAGGGGTAGGAGGGTCCATATAGCGAGAAGCTGGCTCACAGACCACTCAGGTATTATATTAGGATACACTTTTGAAGTGTATGTGTAGTGGAAAATTTAAGTCCCTTGCAGGAAGGGCAGCAAATCCTAGGCAGGGGAGCTAGGTGCTGAAAAACAGGCCATTTAATTTTATGAGAAAAAGACTGAACCTTAGAGAAAGACTTGATTAGCATATAACACATGTGGCATAGTCCTGTTAAACAAAGATTTTTATTTGAGCAGTAACATGTCCCTTTAAATCTGAGATTCACATGAAATAGTAAAAAAGTGTGACAAGTCTACTGCTAAGATAGAGAACCTAGTCACATTGCATCAGACATAGTAAGCTGCAGTTGTGAGTGTGCCTGGGACAGATCCTGCTATCCAGGATCTGTTACATATGCAGCATGTGAGACAGGCACAGTAAGTAGAGGGATAGCTGAAAAACTGGGCTATCTCCCCTGATATAGGGAGAGGGGAGGGTGGCCACATGGCCAGCAGGCCTGTTCACAACGCACAGAGCCCATGTGGCTCTGAAAAATGGCCGCCGCGGCTCCAACAAAATGGCTGCCGTGGCTGCAAAAACAGAGCGCGGCCTACCGCATGGTGATCGTGCGGCACTGCCACGGTAGAAAAAGCTGCTCAGCAAGCGGCCAGGGGCCACGGGGAGCAGGTGGGGAATAAGGGAGAAGGGTATGGGCGACAGAGCCCAGCAGGGGAACCCAGGGAGGGGAAACAGATTACAGGCAGAGCCAAAGCATCATAGCAAGGGCACCCATTCCCCATACAGCAGAATGAGAAAACAGAATAAAGTAATACAGCAGCTACATAGCATGAAGTGGTATAGGAAATAACACAGAATAGACTGCCTAGCTAAACCCAGCAATAGACTGCCTAGCTAAACACAGCAATAGACTGCCTAGCTAAACACAGCAATAGACTGCCTAGCTAAACACAGTAATAGACTGCCTAGCTAAACCCAGCAATAGACTGCCTAGATAAACCCAGCAATAGACTGCCTAGATAAACACAGCAGACAAACTGTTAAAACAAATTCAGCAAGAACCCTGCCTAAATAAAACCAGCAATTAAGCTGCCTAAACAAACCTAACAAATAGACTGATTAAATAGACTGTTTAAATAAACAAGCAGCATGTAGGATAAAACAACAACCAAGAGCAGAGACAACTCTTAGTTGGTGAGTGCTCACCTGGAGGCAGCAGCAAAGAAAGAGGAAGTGGAAGAGCCTGTTTAGGGGTTTTATACTACTGTTGCTTTGTTCTGATTGGTTGTTTTGAAAAGTTCTGTTAACTGTTTCTTTGCTGCTGGAGGTTTCAGTAAAGAAGGTAAAGCAAATATGAAGCCTCCTGTCCTGCCATAAAATTACTTAGATTTACTTTAGTTAGAAAAAAATGGGAGAAAGAGAGTGATTTTCAAAAGAATTTCCTTTTTTTCCTCCTTCTTCCTTGTAACTTCCAAAGGAATCACTTTCTTTTCTTTTTTTAAGTTCAGTTTCTCTCTTTCTCTCTCTGTCACTTATCTACTTACTTTCTATTTCCTTTTTTTGTTTAACTTGACACTGTTACAGTTTTATTAAACAATCAAATACATAACAAACTAACTAACAAACATACAGACATTTGCTCGGTTTGCGGTGCCACAAAGGAAAAAATAAATTCCCATATCAGGCTCGAAGGAGGGGGCCCATACATTTTCCTAAGCGGAGGGAAACAACATGGGGCGAGAGAAAAAAAAAGACAGGAAAAAAATCCACTCTCTCTCTTTCAAAATAAGTCTGATTGAACAGTTGAAATAGTATTACATATATCAGATTTATTGATATCTTCTAATAATTAATTCCATTAAAGTTGATATCTCAATTAATTTCTCAATTGATGTATGGTGCGGTTATCTTATTAGAACATTTATTGCAGTGATTTCTACAATCTCAATTGAAAATGTATTTCTTCTTTGCTCAATATCCCATGAAAGATATATGCTTAGTATTATAGTAGGGATTTGATGATAATTATATTAGATAGATAGATATTAAACAGGTGTCTGTTCAGATATTCAGAGAAAGCATACTGTCACTAGTTCTCAGTATGATCAGATACTTAGATGTTTTTTGAGTGAGTGAGTGAGTATTAAACCGGTGTCTGTTCACATATTCAGAGAAACCAGACCGTTACTCAGCATAATCAGATACTTAGATGTTTATTGAGTTGGAGCAATACAGCTGATGTGTTCAATTCTGAGAATCAGTTCCAGAGTACACAATCTTATTGCGATATATTCAAATGCTATGAGCAGTTTTGGCTGATATATAATGTGGAATTCTTGATGTTGCATTAGATATTGTAAAAAACAATTCAGCAGTAATTAGGTTTGATACCTATATGATGAAATATTTAAGTAAATCAGGCTATTACTTATATAGTAATCTGCTGAGAAATCTCCACTTAATATAATTAATAGTAATAAACTGAGAGCAATGAACCTATTAAACTAGGTTTTAGGTTTCCATTAATTCCAAAATAGCAACAACAAAAAATATGTATAAATATGAATGAAGATGTAAATAATTTACAATTATTCCTTCTGTATTTTAAGTGAAGAAAAAACAAAGGGATATGTGGTTTAGAAAAGTCTATCTTGATCTTAGTAAGTGTAATTAAAGATAACAATTGAGCAGCAAATTTATTAAAAGGGATTTACTCACTGTACCCTTGTATTGTTGTAGTATTGCTTCCCATCAAAAGGAAAAAATATAATTTATGCTGGTTGTTATTAGGCTGTATGTAGTTTGATGCAAGTGTGTTTCATTTATCAAGTATCGGCATTAAATGACCACTATAGTGCCAGGAAAACATACTCGTTTTCCTGGCACCATAGTGCCCTGAGGGTGCCCCCACCATCAGGGTCCCCCTCCCGCCCGGCTCTGGGGAGAGGAAAGGGTTAAAACTTACCTTTTTTCCAGCGCCGGACGGGGAGCTCTCCTCCTCCGATCCTCCCTTTCGGCTGAATGCGCACGCTCGGCAAAAGCTGCGCGCATTCAGCCGGTCTCATAGGAAAGCATTTACAATGCTTTCCTATGGACGCTTGCGTGTTCTCACTGTGATTTTCACAGTGAGAATCACACAAGTGCCTCTAGTGGCTGTCAGTGAGACAGCCACTAGAGGATTTGAGGGCTGGATTAACCTATTTATAAACATAGCAGTTTCTCTGAAACTGCTATGTTTATTTAAAAAGGGGTTAATCCTAGAGGGACCTGGCACCCAGACCACTTCATTAAGCTGAAGTGGTCTGGGTGCCTAGAGTGGTCCTTTAATTAGAAAAAAAAGTCTCTCCTTCCGACTGTAATGTCTCTCAGTATAATAATGGCAATGCAGTACTTGAGGTTTTTTCAGCGTTACTCAGTTCAAATTTCCTCCATGCGGGATATTATCCAAATGTACTCACAGCTAAATCGCATAAATTTGTTTGCAAGTTGAATCTCATTTGTCGAATTTCAGCATTTATTAGTGCTTAAAGCTTCTTGTTCTCCTTATATGGCCTCTCCGTCTCTCACTTCAGTGTGCTGTTAATGGCGTTAGGAGTGTTTTCTCGGCGTTCTGCCAGCAGAACACACTACCTTCTCACAAAGCATTATCCAGACGGCATCACAGCTAAGAACCCTAGGCAAGCGTGTGTGCGTCATGTCATGCCCGCCCAAATGCAAAATCTTGACCTGATGAATATTAGTTTGTATGTTAAAATCATGGGAATTGCTGTAATCTCTTCAAATTCTTATACACTGACCATTAGGAATATTCGGTAGCCAGAATGCGTAATGGCAACTGGTCGTTTCGATAAAGCTATTGACAACTAATTTTTTAAAATAAGTTTTAGTTTTAATATTTGAATTTTCCACAGAAATCTCCAAGTCTAAAAAAAATGTACCCTGGAGTTGCTATGTTCACATGTAAGGGTTATGTTCCTTTAGGTATTATTTAAGAATTTGAAAAAGTGTTTGAGGGATGTCTCTTCTTCCCTCCAAATAAAGAAAATATCGCCAATGTATCTGCAATAAAAGACCAAGTTCGCACTCCAGGCATAGTCCACTAGGAGAAAACACTCCTCCCAAAAGGACATGAGAAGGTTTGCATACCTGGGTGCGAACATGGTCACCACCGTATTACCGACCAATTGTAAAAAATAAAATAAAAAATGCATTACCCTGTCAAAGCTGGGGGTGCAGGGAGGAACAGGGACACTATAGTGTTAGGAAGGCAGTTATGTTGTAATAACACTACAGTATCCCTTTAAGATAATTTGTAATTCACATCTTATTCCTGACCATGCACACTTTAGTAAATAGGTCTGAGAACATTAACTACTGATGTAAAAAGCAGTTTTATAAAACTCTGTCTATGACCCCCATGAAGCTCAATAGCCTCATCTCCAGAAATCTCACATAAT